AAAAAGCCATAATTTTTGTTTTTGTTGTTGTTCAAGGCGTGCTTCTGCTGCTTCCTGCATTTCCTGCATGCTGCAGGGAAACAAAACAAGTTTCTCTTTCTGCAAATTATTAGTGACTGTTGGGAAACAACAATCAATGATCTGTGGGTTTTTTTTTTTTTTGTGTACTGGACAGCTGTCAAATGATGAAGTAAAAGCACAGAGAATTGAAAGCTTTACTGCGCTGGCGAAGACTCAGAGATGAGGTGCAGAACTCTGAAGAAGAGCTACAAGTTTTACGGTAAAGATCTCACAGTGTAATATTTGCCTTTGCTCTCTTTCTCTCTCCTGCTTTCTTTGTCCTGTTTTTCTTCACCCTTTTTCTCCCTGTAAAGGGTATGCATCCAAATCATCTGATTAAGTCATCTGCGTTTCCTTATTTCCTTCTGAAGAAAAAAGAAAAGCCAAATTAAATTCACCAGGTTATTCATCTTCTCCATAATATAATTGCTTTTGTGCTTGTTATAAAAAGCTTTCCAAAAATGTGGGGTTTAGTTTGATATAAAATGTCTCTAAGCATTTTACAAGAGCTTCTATTTGGGAAAAAAGAGGCCATTTCCTGAACAAAGTTCAAGTTTGTAGCTATAAAAACTTCTTTTTTTTTTTTAACTCTGACTGAAGACAAGCACATGCAGGAATATATCATGTAACTATCAAGTTCAATGAAGCTTTAAAAACAAAGGAAAATGCAAAATGAACTACATAATTGTGTCTTCTCTTTAGAAATGACTAATTCTATTTAAACAAGATTTTGTTCTTTACATACCAGAGGATGAGCTCAGGGCTTCTTCTCATGTAGCTAAATACATTAAATCAAGAAAAGGTACTTGCTTTGCTAATGTTTTAATAATCAGGGCTGTTCTTATTGGTGCTTTTGGAGTTTGCCTGTCTTTTGTCTTCAGGTATCTAGACGGGTTGCCTAATGTCTCCATTGCTTGTCTCCTCCAACAGGCTTTGACCAGGAAAATAAGTTTACTAATCTGAACCTCAATTAGTCCTATACTTACCCAAATCACAGAAGTGCAGGGACAGAAAGATTATTCACTACATCCTCCAATCCCATGCTACATGCCACAGACCATCTTCAACATATTTTTACTAACTTTTTCTTAGAAACCCCAATTTAAGAGGTTTGTGCAGTGTCCAAGCTGTTTTAGAACTAGCAATTAAAAACAGTTTCCTAATATATGGCTAAAATCTTATTTCCAGTTGTGCAGATTTTTTCTATTCTTTCACCAAGCAACAGTGAAGAATAAATTGAGCACCATCCTTTTTATAATCCTCTTTCAGAAGACTGTTGTGATTCCATTCATTTTGAGGTCTTCTTTTCTTTATGTGCTTTCTCTTTAGGGCCTAATACCCAGTACGCAAACATAAAAGGCTAATGTTCACCAATGGAGAAATTCTTCCCTGTGGATTCATGTCATCAAAAAATGTGTCATCAAGCAAAAATGCTACTGTAGTCTTTCATTGATTTACCTTAATTCACATTTAGTGATTAATTGTGTGTCACAGCTGTAAGCAGTCAGTCAAATTATACATTTGCAAGTGTGCAATTTAGTGATAAGGCTTGCTTTTGTATTTATACCTATCATCAACTACCATACGGCCGCTACCAACACAAGTAATGATTGACAAAGTTTTCTTTCTTTTACACTAACTATATAGTTGTTTTCTTTTGTTTTGTTTCCCTAGGGTAAAAATAACCTCTATGGTTTGAGGCTCAAGGGCATCTATTTATCTAGCAAATGAAACTGAAGTTTTCTACAAGTTTCCACACTTAGTAGATGTCAAGTCTCTGTGTTTACCATGTAGTATTTGCCTATTGCGTAGTGACATTCTCAGTGTAAATGCAAAAGAATGATGAATAAGTTTGTAATACTGCCACAAAATACACACTTCAGAAGAGGAAATTGATGCCACTTTGAGGTTTTGTACATCTTTGTTTCTCTTATTTCTCTGGTTTCCTGCAGTTGCATCTAAAAAGGACTTTCCACTGGTTTCAGTCAACATAAATGTTTTCTACCCCTTCTGTGGTTCTCTGTTTGTATACTTAGTGTTTTTTCTTTTCTCTCAAAGTATGTCAGTATGCTTTCCGGTGCTGGTATTCCAGAGAGAAAATTTCAGTCTTTCATTTATGCTGGATCTGCTGAGCCTTGTGCTGGTTCAGGTTTGTGCTTTTGTATATTAGAAGTAAATGATAACTTTTTGTTTCTTTTTCCAACCATCTTAGGAAGACCAAAAATCAAACAGCCTTAGCACAAACTCAGTTTTCAACTACTTCTCTTTTTTTCCGCACTGGACAGTCACTTTTTTCTTTCCTTTTTTTTTTTTTTTTCTGTTCTTTTTTCTGATAGAAGGAAAACCCTGTTCGCAGTTTGACAGCTGATCCTGTTAACACTTGATCATGCATATGAATACATATTCTGACTAGGTGAAAGCCACACATCAAACTGATCATCATTTCTTCTTATTATGGATATTTGATGCCAAATCCATCTTGTGTAGTGCTTCTGAAAAATGAGGTCAGGTGTGAAAGAAATGATCTGTCTCTTTTCAGCAGGCAAAGCTCTGAAAAGCAGCACAAGCAATTCTTCAGGGTTGAAGAATATGTATGGCACTGAACTGTAGTGCATGTGTAAGATAAGACTCTAGAGTCCACTGTATTTTCTCATTTCTCAACCAAACCTGCAGACATAAAATCACACAGGAAAAAAATCACTCATTCTGCTGGCTGACATCAACTCAAGTCTCTCACGGTATCAAAACAAAGAAGACTTGGGAAGACCCTATTTCTTTCTCTGGGATGAAGCTAGCACTGAATTCTTTTGCACAGGGCCTTGTGATTTAGTTTTTGCCTGTGATTTTTCACAAGGGCAAAACAGTGTTGTTACCTTTCTACTTCCTTCAAAAATATACCAGTATCTAAAATCTGCCAGGCAGCTATTTGAATAACCTGAATGAGCTTGGCTTAGTGTTATGCACACCTTTAATAACTAAAATAGATGCCAGGTTTGTAGGACAATCTTCTTCATTCAGTCATTCAGTCTCTGGACCTGCAAAGTGTTGTAAGTTCAAAGCATTGCTTTAAATCAGCATGCCAAAATACTGACAGCACTGCACAGGGTAATGTTCTGAAAATGTATGGTGTTGTGCCTGTAGTTTATGTACATCCTTCTGAGAAGAAATTCTTCAGTATCACAGAATGCTTAAGGCTGGAAGGAACCTCTAGAGGTCATCTAGTCCAACCCCCCTGCACACGCAGGGTCACCTAGAGCACGTGGCACAGGACTGCGTCCAAGCAGGTTTTGAAGATCTCCAGAGAAGGAGACTCCACAACCTCTCTGGGCAGCCTGTTCCAGTGCTCTGGCACCCTCACTGTTAAGAAATTTTTCCTTAAGTT